ACTGGTCCGACCGAAGGTCTTGCTGAGCATCGTGAGCCTGCGTCTCGTCCTGTGTCGCTTATTCGTCCACTAGCACTAGTCGTCCTGGTTTGCGTCAGCATCCTCCCCCTGTCCCAGACACGTACCGGATGGCTCTTCGCCCTTCCGCTGCTCCACAGCGTGTCCCTCTGCCGTCTCCTCCTGCGTCCTCTCTTCCTGCCCTTTTCGACCCGGAGTCTGACTTCCTTCGTGCTGCTAGTCTTACAGTCACGCGTGTACTGGCCACCGCTGTAACTGACCCTTCCTTTGAGTCCACTGCTGCGTCTCCCTTAGTTGCTGAGCTTGTCGACTTTGCTGCTCATTGTCGTCTCCACTATGCTGCTAGTCTTGTTGCTGAGTCTGAGTCTGTCTGTCCTCTGTCCGTCGAGGATGAGTGTGCTCTTGGCACGGACGTCCTTTAGGACAGGCAGGAGGACTTTGAATGCTTTGCAATCGCTCTACCTCATCTCGTGTCCATGCTGATTGCGACCTGGATGCACCAAACATCCCGACCCCGCGCTCTTACGTTAACGCGATACAGGGTCCCTAATCCTCTCAGTGGTAGTTAGCCATGGACGCAGAGATGGCATCCTTGAAGTCCACAGGCACCTACATCGACGAGGTTCCCCCTCCTGGGGCGGACATCGTCAGTGGCATGTGGATTTTCAGGGTGAAGCGGCCGCCGTGTTCTCCGCCTGTCTTCAAGGCGCGTTACGTTGCTCGAGGCTTCAATCAGCGACAAGGAGTTGACTACTTCCAAACCTTCTCCCCGACCCCGAAGATGACCACTCGTCGGGTTCTGCTGCACGTCGCTGCTCAGCGTGACTATGAGCTTCACTCTCTTGACTTCAGCACAGCCTTCCTGCAGGGCAGCGTGCACGAGGAGATCTGGCTGCGCCGCCCTCCTGGCTTCACTGGGTCGTTTCCTCCTGGTATCCAGTGGTGCCTCCGACGGCCAGTCTACGGTCTCTGCCAGGCGCCCCGTAAGTGGCACGACACACTAAGGACTACGCTTACGGCTCTTGGGTTTGCTCCTTCCACTGCTGACCCGTCGCTGTTTCTCTGCACCGACACTACTCTGCCGCTGTTCTACTTCCTCGTGTACGTCGACGACTTCGTCTTTGCTACTGCGGACACAGCTTGACTAGCCCACATGAAGTCGGAGCCGCAGAAGAGACACACGTTCACAGACCTGGGTGAGCTGCGCAGCTATCTTGGCTTGCAGATCACCCGGGACAGAGCACGGTGCACCATTACCTTGAGTCAGTCACACATGGTGCAGCAGGTCCTTCAGCGCTTCAACTTCACGTACTCCTCGCCTCAGGCCACTCCTCTGTCTACTAGCCACTCGCTCTCAGCTCTGCCTTTGGATGAGTCCGTAGAGCCGAGTGGCCTGTACTTAGAGCTTGTTGGCTGCCTCATGTACCTGATGACCTGCACTCGACCTGACCTGGCATACCCTCTTAGCATCTTGGCACGCTATGTTGCTCCTGGGAGACACCGACTAGAGCACATGGGTGCAGCTAAGAGGGTGTTGCGCTACCTGTGCAGTACGTCGGGCATGGGGCTCGTGCTTGGAGGACGGGCTCGAGTTGTCCTCACTGGTCACGCAGACGCTTCTCTGGTTGACGACTTGACTACGCAGCGATCGTCAAAGGGTTACACCTTGAGCCTTTGTTCTGGCTCTGTCTCGTGGCGGTCTACCCGCTCGTCTTCAGTTCTCAGCTCCAGTTGTGAGGCTGAGATCTACGCTGGGGCCATGGCTGCACAGGAGTTACGCTGGCTCACCTACCTGCTGACCGACTTGGGAGAGGCGCCTTGTTCTCCTCCAACTCTGTACGTCGACAAGAAGGCCATGCTGGCCTTGTGTCGGGAGGATAGACTAGAGCATAGAACGAAGCACATTGCTCTGCGCTACTTCCTAGCTTGAGAGTTGCAGTAGCGTGGTCAGCTTCGTCTTGCTTACGTGGCCTCTCGGGCCAACACTGATGATATCTTCACCAAGGCACTTCAGCCTTGTGATCATCAGCGCTTCTGTACTATGCTAGGTCTTGTGCCTATCAGGCCTCACTTGCTTACCTCTTGACTTTGCTTGTATTGTGATCTATATATACCTGCGCATAGATGCTTACCTTTGTCAGGCTGCGATCACTGTCTTGCTTGTTCACTTTGATTTATAATCCTGCATGTGATCTGGCCTTGTGGCCTTGAACTTGTGCTCAGAATGTGTGGTGACGTTGTGATCCACCCTGACCTTGACCTTGCCTTGTTTTCTTGCTTGTCCGCCACTTTGCCTATGGGGGTGTGTCAGAACTATATTATAGGCTGTAGTGGGGCACTCCTTATGGGGTACAGTAGTGTTAGGGTTTCCTACTTGTACTCCTCATTCTACTCAATGAACTCATTCCTCGTTCTTATTCTTACATTTCTCACATGCAAAAATTCTCCAACGTTACAATAATTACAAAAAAAAAAAGTAAAAGCCCTGAGGTCCTTTCGGGAAATGTTTTTTTTATACATAATTTTGCAAGTTCGCAATCATGCTATCCAAAATAAGATCTTAACAGTTCTTATACGAGCTACATATATATTTAAAACAGCTATGAAACTTTTCGGTCCATGGAAGTAGAATAAACGGACGGACTTCAAAGTCGCGACGGGACTTGTTCAAAAAACATAAAACTGCTTGTAAAATCTTTCAAACTTGAAAAATTCCTCTTTGCATGATCATTTCGGTGGGAGTTTCATGTAGTTACCATTCGCGTGATGGGCTGCTAGTATATAGTTACCATACGCGTTGCGAGTTACCAAACGTGTTAAGCAAGTTACCAAACGCGTTAAGCGAGTTACCAAACGCGTCGAAATCGTTACCGTACGCGTTATAGGGCCCCATATAAGTTACTATTGACATATTTTTCCTGTCAAAAGAGTATGAAGTATGATCGAAAGCATAAGAGAATACTTGTGCAAAAACATGAAAACATGCAACGGTTACGTGGTGCATGCGAGCTAGCTAGTGCTAGGCTCGCATTGAGGTTCGGGCTAGCCCCGAAGCGTAGGCCGACTCCGACTCTGCCGGGCCAGCAGTGGATGGTTTGGTGAAAACAGTGCGCGCGAAGTTGGCGAAGCCCCGTTAGCAGTAACAGGCGAACAACGGCTGCTACTGTATGTTGCAGGGTGCGCTAAGGAATGTCAAGAAAATTCCTTACACTACCCCCCCCCCCCTCAAGAAGCCCCCTCCGCTACGCGAGTGCGTGTATATCGCGGAAACCCCGGTTCCTCAGGTACACTTGCAGGGCAGGTTGGTTTTCAATGTTGGCCAAGGGCACCCAGCTATCTTCAGTTGGCGTGAAGTCCTTCCAGCGAACAAGGAACTCGATCCTCTTTATGCCTGTGGGGTGTCAAATCCGATGGCTTAGAATCTTTTCGGGCTCAATGATCGGCTCCGATGTGTAGGGCGACTCATGGATGGCGGGCGGTGACGAGGCAGTTGGCTCGTGATTGGGATGTAAGGGCAAAGTAGGCTGACGTGGAATGATGGGCTGGTGTACTAGTCTGTCCGCAACAGTAAAAGGGCGATAACTGGGGTGATCATGTGGCTGATTTGGAATGGTCAACAGTAGTGGAGTCTTAATTTTGGTACGACGTGCTGTATTAAGTTTTGTGTGTCGAGGAGTACGTAATCCCCTTACTAGTATGTGACTGGGCTGTGAGAATCGAAACGAGAATGAATCAACTATGAAATGAGTGAGTACAAGTACTAACCCTAATTGGGTTGTACCCCCTATGGGATACCCCACTATAGCCTACACAAATGTATAAGCTATATAGCATTCTGACACACCCCCATAGGCAAAGTGGGGGAGAACAAGGGGTCAGAAGACCAGTCAAGTAAAGCAAAGCAAAGCAAGCTCAGGGTGGATCACAAAGTCACCACACAGTCCGAGCACAGGGTCAAGGCCACACGCCCAGTTCACAAGCAAGAGTACACACATATATATAAAGCTAGACAAGCAAGAGCAGGTATATATATATGTGAGAGTACAAGCAAGGTCAAGAGGAGAGCAAGTGAGGCAAGACGGGCACAAGACCCAGCTGAGTGCAGAAGCGCTGATGATCACAAGGCGGAAGTGCCTTGGTGAAGACATCAGCAGTGTTGGCCTAAGAGGCCTCGTACGCAAGCCGCAACTGTCAACGCGACTGTAGCTCACGAGCAAGGAAGTAGCGGAGAGCAATGTGCTTTGTTCTGTGCTCCAGTCGCTGCTCTCGACACAAGGCCAGCATGGCCTTGTTGTCTACGTACAGGACTGGAGGAGAACGAGGCGGCTCTCCAAGGTCGGTCAGCAGGTAGGTAAGCCAGCGAAGCTCCTGTGCAGCCATGGCCCCGGCGTAGATCTCAGCCTCACAACTGGAGCCGAGAACAGAAGACGAGCGAGTAGCCCGCCACGAAACAGAGCCGGAACCAAGGCTGAAGGTGTAACCCTGTGACGACCGCTGCGTAGCCTGGTCGTCAGCCCAAGAAGCGTCAGCGTGCCCAGTGAGGACCACTGGACTCCGCCCTCCAAGCACTAGCCCCATGCCCGACGTACTGCACAAGTAGCGCAACACCCTCTTCGCTGCAGCCATGTGCTCTGGTCAGTGTCTCCCAGGAGCAACATAGCGTGCGAGAATGCTAAGAGGGTATGCAAGGTCAGGTCGTGTGCAGGTCATCAGGTACATGAGGCAGCCAACAAGCTCTGGGTACGGGCCACTCGACTCTACGGACTCATCCGAAGGCAGAGCTGAGAGCGAGTGGCGAGTAGACAGAGGAGTGGCCTGAGGCGAGGAGTACGTGAAGCCGAAACGCTGAAGGACCTGCTGCACCATGTGTGACTGAGTCAGGGTAATGGTGCGGCGTGCTCTATCCCGGGTGATCTGCAAGCCAAGGTAGCTGCGCAGTTCACCCAGGTCTGTGCACGTGTGTCTCTTCTGTAGTTCGAACTTCACGTAGGCGAGTCCAGCAGTGTCAGCTGTGGCAAAGACCAAGTCGTCGACGTACACGAGGATGTAGAACGGCGGCACAGAGGTGTCGGTGCGCAGAAACAGCGACGGGTGGTAGTAGAAGGAGCAAACCCAAGAGCCGCAAGCGTAGTCCTCAGTGTGTCGTGCCACTCACGTGGCGCCTGGCAGAGACCGTAGACTAGACGACGGAGACTCCACTGGTTACCAGGAGGGAAAGACCCAGTGAAGCCAGGTGGGCGACGCAGCCAGATCTCCTCGTGCAGGCTGCCCTGCAAGAAAGCTGTGCTGAAGTCAAGAGAGTGCAGCTCGTAGTCACGGTGAGCAGCAACGTGCAGCAGTACCCGAAGAGTGGTCATCTTCGGGGTGGGGGAGAAGGTCTGGAAGTAGTCAACTCCCTGCCGCTGACTGAAGCCACGAGCCACGTAACGCGCCTTGAAGACAGGCGGAGAACGCGGCGGCCGCTTCACCCTGAAGATCCACATGCCACTGACGATGTTCGCCCCAGGAGGGGGGACAGCGTCAAGGTAGGTGCCTGTGGACTTCCAGGAAGCCATCTCTGCATCCATAGCTGCCTGCCACTGAGAGGAGTAGGGACCCTCTATCGCCTCCGCGTAAGAGCGCGGAGTCGGGATGTCAAGTGCATCCAGATCTCCCTCAGGGGTAAGCAGTACGGACACGAGATGAGGTGAAGCAGCTGCCTGACATTGGAACTCCTCCTGCCTGTCCTCAAGGACGTCCGTGCCAAGAGCACACTCACCCCCGACGGACGGAGGACAGACAGACTCAGACTCAGCGACAAGACTAGCAGCGTAGTCTAGGCGACAGTGAGCAGCAAAGTCGACGAGCTCAGCAACTAGGGCAGACGCAGCAGTGGACTCAAAAGAAGGGTCAGTGACAACAGTAGCAAGGAGACGCGTGACAGTAGGATTGGCAGCACGAAGAGAGTCTGACTCCGGGTCGGCAAGAGCAGGAAGAGAGGACTCAGGAGGAGAAGGCAAAGAGGCACGCAGAGGAGCAGTGGACGGACGCAGAGACATCCGGTGCGTGCCAGGGACAGGAGGAGGACGCTGACGTGAACAGCGACCACTAGTGCGAGTAGCACGGACACGCGACGCAGGGCGTGACGCAGGCTCACGACGCTCAGCCAGACCTCCAGTAGGACCAGTGTAGGGAGAAGGAGCAGGCAAAGGGGACTTAGGCTGCAACTGTAGATGGGACGGGACAGGCTGTGGACACTCTAAGGGAGGAGGAGGACCAGTAGAAGGTGGAAGACCAAGAACCTGCTCCAGGAGTGGAACGAAGTACGATCGAGGCCGCGTGGCGACGCCAGAAGCAGCAGGGACAGCACCAGAACCCTCAGCAGGAGCACCCGCTCCAGCAGCACCACCAGTAGCTCCAGAACCTCCAGCAGCACTAGGAGCACCCCCAGCAGGACCGCCAGCGGTAGTCTCAGCGCCAACACCCTCAGCAGCACCTCTAGTAGGAGCACCCGCTCCAGCAGCACCTCCAGGAGCTCCAGAACCTCCAGCAGCAACAGGAGCACCCGCAGCAGGACCGCTAGTGGTAGTCTCAGCGCCAACACCCTCAGCAGCACTAGCTCCAGTCGAACCTGCAGTCCCAACAGCTCCAGTACTCCCAGGACAAGCACCTCCGGGACCCGCGACAGTAGCACCCTCAGTAGCCGACGAACCTCCAGCACCAGCAGCACGGCTCCAGCGCCGAGCAAACCACTCGCGCAACTCCTGTGGAGAGAGTGGCTCCCGGCGAGACGTAGCACCCGGAGAACCTCCAGGGGGAGTACCTCCAGGCTCAGCACCCCCAGGCTCAGCACCCCCAGGCTCAGCACCCCCAGGCTTAGCACCCCCAGGCGTAGCATGCCCAGGCTCAGCACCCCTAGGCTCAGCACCCCTAGGCTCAGCACCCCCAGTAGCCGAAGAACCTCTAGCATCAGCTGCACGGCTCCAGCGCCGGGCAAACCACTCGCGTAGCTCCTGTGGAGAGAGTGGCACCCGGCGAGACGAAGCACCCGGAGAACCTCCAGGCGGAGCACCTCCAGACTCAGCACCCCCAGGCCCGGCACCCCCAGGCAAAGCACCCCGAGGCGGAGCACCCCCAGGCTCAGCACCCCCAGGCACAGCACCCCCAGGCTCAGCACCCTCAGCAGCACCAGAGTCACCAGTGACCTCGACAGGCTCGACTGCGTCTACCTAGGACACACCTGAAGGGGCAGGACCCTGAGGGGGGAGGGGGTCTACCTGGGGGGGACCTGGTACAAGGAAGAGCGGGGGCGGGGGGAGGGACGGAGTGCGGTAGGGGAAGAGGCGGTAGTAGGGGACCGACTTGTCAAACGTGACGTCCTGGGAGGACGGAACACGACGAGAGGTGGGGTGGTAGAACTGCCACCCAGGCGCGTCAGGGGGGAACCCCAGGAAGACGCAAGGAGCAGCACGAGGGGACAGCTTGTCCGCAGACAAGTCGCGGACAAACGCCCGAGATCCCCAGACCCGGAACGCCGACGCATCGCCAACCTTCCCCGTCCACAGCAAGGCTGGGGAGGTCTCCGGCCTGGAGACCCTGGGGTGAAGGTTGATCTGATGCGCCGCGTACCTGACCGCAAACGGCCACAGAAAATAGGGGGCAGCCGCATGCATCATAGACGTACGAGCGACGTCCTTGACCATGCCAATGCGGCACTCAGCAATCCCATTTTGCTGCGGAGAGTCCGGAAGCGTGAAGGTCTGACGGATGCCCCGTGCGCGTCAGTAGGCTCTCAGAAGGCCAGAGGAGAACTCTCCGCCTCTGTTCGAGTGCAGACGCAGAACAGGAAAGTCCGAGCCAAAGCTCTGCCTAAGCTGGAGACGAGGTGCGCGGATCCAGTCGATCAGCACCTCAGTAACATCATCCTTGCTGCGCAAGGGGAAGACTACGGAGTAACGCGAGTAGTCGTCAACAACTAGCAGGAAGTAGCGCTCGTGACCCTGTCCACGGACGCGGGCTGGACCCCACACGTCCATATGAAGCGTCTGCAACGGGGCCTCTGTCGGAGGAAACTGGGAGGAGTGAGGGGCAGCACGCTTGCGCCCCTCGACACAGGGGACACAGGTAGGGCCAAGGCCCTGAGGAAGGGGAGGGAGGGACCGGGGGAGACCAGAAACAAGAAGACGAGAGGCCATGCCTCTGAGCCAAAGCAGAGAGGGGTGACCAAGGCGGTGGTGCTAGAGGAGAGTCTCGTGAGACAGGAGACGACACGAACAGGGGGCAGACTCAGGACCAGACCTGGACGCTGCAGCAAACACCTGACCCGACGCAGCTACCCTACTAGGCTCAGCAACTGGAGGAGACGCAATGGTCAGTGTGTACAGGCTCGACCCCGGCCGACGAGTAAACGTCACCAGGTGCCGGCCTGTCCGAGCGTCTGTGCAGTGGGTCACCCGTTGACTCGCAGGAGTGAACTGGTGAACCCCCGCATCCTGCAGGTCAGCACCACTCACCAAGTTTGTAGAGAACGAGGGGAGGTAAAGACCAGAAAGGGTGCCAGAGGGGGCCGCCGGACACGGGAGGACAGTGGAGAAGTGAGCAAGGACAGGGCCCCCAGAGGGGTCTGCCAGAGAGACTGCAGCTGGCCGACCAAGCGGCGTGAGTGTGGTGCAGTCTCGAAAGAAGGAGCGGGAAGCCCCCGAGTCAAGGGTGAAGGTGTGAGAGGCCGGAGCCGACGCGGTACCTGAGAGAGCAGACTCACCCGCAACTGATGAAGCAGACTCACTAGCACCTAGAGCAGCAGCCGCACCTGTACCTGGAGCAGGAGACACACTAGCACCCAGAGCAGCAGCCGCACCAGCAGCTAGAGCAGCAGGATCTATACCCGGGTCAGGCGGTACGCACAGGTGACCGGCACGGTCAGCACTAGTAGGCAATGCATACATGGCAGTGAGAATAGCATCATAGTCAAGAGCAAATATATCTACCCTCTGCCTAAGCAACTCCACCCAGTCGGGGAGCTCAGCCTCGTCGCCAAACGCGGTACGCCAGGCATCGCTCAGACGGGCAAAGCAGCGGGACGGTGTGTGACTAGGCGTCCCACAAGGCTGACCAGTCCGAGCACCAGTGCCAATCACGTAAGAGCAGCGAACAAAACTGAGAGACCCTCCACTCTGAGCGTACCACTCACGAAGCTGCCGGGGCGTAAGAGACGCGCGTGGGCGTCGTTGGAGCTGCATCTGGCCGCCGCCAGTAGAAGCAGGAGCAGGAGTAGCAGTAGTAAGGCAGGCAGCCAAGCAAGCAGTAGGCAGCGCGCTAGTAAGGCAGGGGCTCACCAGTGGTGGGAAGAGGAGGCTCGACGACTCGGCGACTCGGCGAGTTGGCGGCATGGCGGCACTACAGCAACTGTGGCTCGGCGGCTCGGGCGACTCGGGCGGCTCGGCTGCTCGGGCGACTCGGGCGGCTCGGCGGCTTGGCGGCTCAGCGGTACGGCTGCTCAGCAGCAACTGCAGCTCGGCGGCTCGGCGACCCGGCGGCTCGGCGACCCGGTGGCTCGGGCGGCTGAGGTGGCGCTGCGGCTCGGGCGGCTCGGGCGGCTCGGGTGGCTCGGGCGGCTCGGGCGGCTCGGGCGGCTCGGGCGGCTCGGGCGGCTCGGGCGGCTCGGGCGGCATGGGCGGTTTGGGCGGCTCGGGTGACTCGGCACTAGCTCGGCGGCGCCGGCGGCTCGGTGGTGACGGCGGGGCCGCCTGGGGACAGCGGCGGGGTGGGGTGGAGCGGCGACGGGGCCAGCAGAGGCGGCGCCGGGGCCGGCAGAGGTGGAGCAGGGTCGCAGGGGCGTAGGGGCAGGCGACGGGGCCAGCAGAGGCGGGGCCGGGTCGGTGCAGGGCTGCGGGGCCGCAATGGAGGTGGCGGGGCTGCGGTGTAGAATGGCGGCAGGGGCCGCGACGAAGGGCGGCAGGGGCCGCGATGAAGGGCGGGAGGGGTCGCGACGAAGGGCAGGGCTGCGACGAGAGTGGCGGGGCCGCGACGAAAGAGGCGGGGTCGCGCGCCTCGGGGCGGGGCCGCGACGTAGGGCGGGGCCGCGACGTAGGGCGGGTCCGCGACGTAGGGCGGGGCCGCGATAATGGGCGGGGCCGCGACAAAAGAGGCGGGGTCGCGCGCCTCGAAGCGGGGCCGCGACGTAGGGCGGGGCCGCGACGTAGGGCGGCGCCGCGACAAGGGGCGGGGCCGCGACGAAAGAGGCGGGGTCGCAACAAGGGGCGGGGCCGCGACGAAAGAGGCGGGGCCGCGCGCCTCGGGGCGCGCGCCAGAAAGAAAATCGCCGCGCGCCAGGTCGCACGCCGCGGGGCGTGCGACAGATCGAGTAGCAGCGGAAGCAGTAGTAGGGCCTTAGGAACAGTTCCCACGAGGGAACCTGCTCGATACCATGTGAGAATCGAAACGAGAATGAATCAACTATGAAATGAGTGAGTATAAGTACTAACCCTAATTGGGTTGTACCCCCTATGGGATACCCCACTATAGCCTACACAAATGTATAAGCTATATAGCATTCTGACATGGGCGGCGGTGGCGGTCAGAGTTTCTTTTTGCGATGACGTTGGCCTTTATAAATGCTTCTTCAGCTCTGGTGCGGGCAGCTTGCAGAATCTCAGCAAATTGTTGTGCGCTTGATGTTGGGTTGTCCGGACTCAGTGTCATGGGCACTGTTGAGTTTTGCCCGTAGTTTAGGTAGAACCGGGACTGCTGCGTCGTCGCTGACCTGGCGTTGTTGTATGCGAACTCGATTAGTGGAAACTGCTGCTCCCAGGTTGACGGGTCGTCACACCTGGCGCAGATCAGCTGCTCCATGGTTTAGTTTATCCGCTCCGTTTGACTGTTGGTCTCGGGGTGGTACGACGAGCTGAACTGTAGCCTAGTCCCGAACTGCTCCCAAAGGTTCTTCCACAATTTGCTGGTAAACTTTGTGTCACGGTCGCTGACTATTGTGGCTGGTATTGTATGCAGTCGAACGACGGTTGCGATGTACAGGCGAGCGATTTCTTCGGCTAAGATTGATTTCTAGGTGCGATCGTGGCTGCACGCGCTTACGAGAGAACGCAAGGATAGCGGCTCCTAGGGGCTAAGGGGTGTGAGTCTCTTCGAGCAAAATTCAACAGTTGATTTTCTGGAGTGCAGAGATGCGCGGTCTGAAAAAAAAGGTGTATCCAATAACCAAGTGTTATGTGTGCAATAGAACGAAGTAGTGAGGATTGCACTAGGGTGTCAAAAGAGTATAAAGTATGAGCGAAGGCATGAGCGAATACTTATGTGCGAAAATATGAAATAGTTACGTGGTGCGTGCGAGCTAGCTAGTGCTAGGCTGGCATCGAGGTTCGGGCTACCCCCGAAGCGTAGACCGACTCGGCCGGCCCAGCGGTGCATGGTTTGATGAAAACAGTGCGCGCGAAGTTGGCGAAGCCGTGTTAGTAGTAACGGGCGAACAACGGCTGCTGTTGTACGCGATGTTGTTGGTCTCGATATGGAATGTCAAGAAAATTCCTTACAATTTTGTATACATTTTATCATCTTTATCAAATACATGCTGGAAGCAGCACCAGCATGTGCCTCTTTTAGAGATTTGTTACAATCCCAAGTGGGAATTAGCGAAAGGATCGCTCAGGGTTGATCACAGGGCAGTGTTTGCAGCGGAAGTTTGAATCTCAGGTTAGAGTGAATGTAAATGACTGAGTTGATAATAGCATGCATACATCGGGTTTATATATGAATACAAGGGAATACGAAAAGACCTAGACTAGCCATGTACTCTAAGGAGTACATTCCCTAATTGCAGTGAATTTGAACCGTGCGGCGCGGGAACCCATTTCAAACCTGTTCCTGCTCTTTTCATTTCAAATGTTTCTGCCTGCATCGGTCTTGGTCAGAAGGTTGCTGCGTTGCTTCGACTCTTCTGACTCCTCGACTTCGTACTCGATAGAGTTGGCTCCTGCAGCATACAGTAATGCCTTCTCATACAAGTTCATATCGTAACACTCCCCTTCATTCCTGGGTGCACAAAGGGCTGACTCACTTGACTACTCCGGTGAGGTCAGAGCAGTGCTTGTACTGCTGACGTGGCAGTCGCTTGGTGAGGAAATCTGCTGCCATCTTGGTGGTTGGGCAGTACGCGAGATCAACTTTCCCCTGGTCGATTTCGTCCTTGACAAAAAAATACCGAAGCGCAATGTGCTTCGTGCGGTTCACGAAACCTGGCTTGTTTGCAATCTTGTTGGCGCTCTGGTTGTCGCAGTGAAGGCGAAAGGTTGGCGAAGTTGGGATTTTCGCCTCCTACAATAATTTGGTTGTGGTGACTATGGGAAGTTGTGGGGTTGACTTCGCGAACTACCGCTGTCGCGGCGATGTATTCTGCTTCAGCCTATGATAGGGCAACCATTTCATGCTTCTGTGAATTCCAAGGGATTGGTCCGGTTGGCTCTAGACGAAAAACAAAGCCAGTTCGGGACCGTCGATTCGCAGGATCAGCGGCATGATCTGCGTCCACGTAGCCGTTGAGATTGAAGGAGGTCATCGTCAGCATGGAGTAGGAGAGCCCGATGTCAGGTGTGGAGATGAAGTACTGCAGGGCGTGCTCTAGGTCCAGCTGGTTCTCAGCTATTGGCTTGCGAGAGTGTTGTGCCAGTTGGCTGGCGATGTACGAAAGGTCGGGTCGGCAGGTGACAGAAGCGAACAGCAGGCAACCCAGTTGCTGCTGGTATAGTTGAAGTCCCGTAGGGGATAGAGGTTTGTTGTCTAGTTTGTAGCTGGCGCTAGGGTTGCGGTAAGGGGCTGAGAGTGGTGCGGGTGAAATGTTGAAGTGTTCCCCAGCTGCTCTGCGTACTTGGAGGCTGACAGATGAATTGCTTTTGGCGCGAAGGTGATGTTAAGGCCCAGAAATTGCTTGACGTTGTGGTTTATGGTAATGTCAACGCGCTGCGCTAGGGTCTCCTCAAACTGGTTAAGGTGTTTGTTGCAGGTACCTAAGTACAGCAAGTTGTCGACGTAGACTGTCAGGAGAATGTAGTCGCCGTTGAAGTGGAGACGATACATTCCCGGGTTGTGCGGCAGTTGTCTGACGCTGATCTCGAGGAGGATTTTGTGCAGGTGCTGCTGCCACAGACGAGGCGCCTGCTTGATCCCGTAGAGGGATTTCTTCAGCTGACAGATCCTGGGGTCTCCTTCCCCGTAGGTGTGTGGCTGCTTTACGAAAGTGGTTGCGTCCACTAATGCATATAAAAACGCGTTCTTCACATCGATCTGCCGCAGTGGTAGATACTTACCGGCGGCAATGGCGATTAGACTCCTGACAGAGCTCTGACGGCTGACGGGAGCGAAGGTTTGATTGAAGTCAATGCCGTGGCGCTGATCGTACCGGCGTACAACCCAGCGTTCTTTGAAGCGTTCAATTGTGCCGTCGGCATTAGTCTTCAAGCGAAAAAAACCCATTTTCCGCTAAGCACCCTCCTCCCCTTCACTGTTGCACGATCGACTAGGACCCATGTGTCGCGAGATTCCAGTGCCTTTAGCTCCGCATCCATGGCGGCACGCCACCCCTTGGCGTGAGGGCCGGTAAGGGCCTGGCGCGGGTTCTTGGGTTCGATAGCGCGCGCGAGAGTTGTGACGGAAGTGTGCAAGCCGAGTAGTTGCAGGCCGGACACATTGGTAGTGGTGTCTGTGATGACTTCCACCACATCGTCATCGCTACTCTCATAGCCGGGCGAGGTGGTGCTTGGTGCGGCTTGGCGCTGCAATGGCCCTGGCGCGGGAGCGTCGTCACTGTCATCATCGCCGTCGTCGTTGCGTGGGCGAGGCGTTTTGCTCAGATGCTTGTCGGTGTCATTGCGGTCCAGTGCCGCTGCTGCTGCCTTGTCTTCTGAAGACGCAAAGCTGCGGCCGCTGTTGATGTAGCCCCGTGCCTCGTTGCGACGTTCGTCGTCAATCCACTGCTTCAAAATGAGTCGCTCGTAGAAAAGAACGTCACACGCGGGAACAATTTCCTTGCTGTTGATGTCGAGGATGAGCCAGCCTTTGCACTCGTTACTGAGTCCCAAATGAGCTCCCCAGCGCGGGCGGTGAATGAACTTTCCAATTGTGGCTGAGGTCGGTCGATACTGCACCATGCACCCCCAAACCCTCAGCATGGAGGGGTCTCCCCTTGAGCCGGTCCACTTCATGTGCGAGAAAAGGCTGTCCGTGTTGGCCGTGGCGGAGAGGAGGTTGTGCAGGCACACCGGGTGGTTCATGGCGTAAGGCCAGAACTTCTTGGGTAGGCCGGACTGGTTCATGAGGGCGCGCATTTTTGTTATGAGGGTGCGATCTCTGCGACGCCTTGCTGCTGGTGAGCGTAGGGGAGAGAGATCTCATGCTTGATCCCCTTCTCAGTTAGAACGTTGTCCAGTTCGTAGCTGCGAAATTCCTTGGCCCCGTTACTCTACCAGATTTTCAGCTTCCTCCCTGATTGCCATTGCGCGTGTGCGAGCCAGATGCGGAAAACTTCTGGAGCCTTGGATTGAGCATTGTCGTTGGCGATCCATGTCACAGGATCGAATTCTCAATCGAAACTTGTCACTAAAACTGAATACAAGGCCTATTTATACTCGGAAAGTACAAGGATAAACGAGATAAAACGAACCTT